TGTTGTTAAATATTGTAATTACCTAAGATTAATGAATGTTCAGAAGAATTTTTCATTGGCAGTTTGTTAACTAATGAATTAACTAATGTTAACTAATGAAGCCCTAATGTAAAGTGTGATCGAACAATAAAGAATCAAAACACTTTCAAACAATATCTAGGGCATGTTGTAGTCCAGATTAAAATGTAAAAAAGTTTGAAAATAAATAGCCTATTAATTCTAAATATTTTAGTATTTGGCGCTGTGATGAACATCATAGCAAATACACAAATCTGAATGGCTGTTTAAATCATTTAAACACCTTTCAGAAACAGAAAGCTGCATTATGTTTAGCGCCATCAAGTTCATTTATTTATAAAACGCATTCTAAATGAAATAGGCAGCCAATGGAGGGCCCTCAGTATGGGGTGATGTGGTCACATGTGCGACTATTTTGAAGAAATCTAGCAAGCAGTGTTTTGGACCAATTGTAGGCGAGTCATTTGTGACTTTGAAATACCGCAATATAGTGAGTTGCAGTAATCTAAGCGTGAAGTAATAAAAGCATGGACAGCCATCTCTAACGTCGTAGCATTTACAAAGTGTTTGATTTTAGGCAGCAAGCGGAGTTGGTAAAAACTGGAACCAATTACAGAAGAGAGATGTTTGTCCAATTTTAATGACTCATCAAGATGGACACTAGGGTTGGGCACTGAACTAGGTACTTTTAAGGGTACCGACGGAATTACGTCGGTACTACAGAGTACCAATTCACGTTAAATCAATCCGTGCCAAATTTCCGTAGCTGAGAACGCATCTGGGCGCATACGCTACAGAGAGAGAGAGAGAGACTCGTTCAAACAACACACAGGGCAAGCCGAAATGTTCTGAAGTGTGGTTACATTTCTAGGGCCATATGGTTTCTGAGAAAACGCGGACGGGATCGCGGAGTCCATTCATAAAAACGTAATTTACTCTATAGCGCGGAATGCCACGGAATTCGTCAATTTTGGACGAATAAATCAAAAGTTGGTCTGCCACTTAATTCGAATCGCGATATTATGAGCTAATGTCTGTGAATATTAAAATGCAAAAAGATGGTTTAAATATGAATCCTTTATGTTCTGCTTGCCTCTGTATGTATGGATGGCGGAAACGCGGTTTTGTTTACTACACAAATACTGAAGCACGCGTGA